TATTTCATTACTGTATAAAGATAGTTGATTTAGCAAAAAAATTAAAATAAATGGAGCTACAGTAATTCACGTAAGTTAAACAAATATTTGCATGTTTTATTAATTTTAGAGTGACTCCGCGTGAGAAATATCACAATCTGCAAGTGGTTCTTAAAATTTGACGAAACTTGGGGGAAATAATAAATTAATATAAGAGCTAAATAATTGTAAAAGGAATTTTCAAAATATCTAAAATTGTAGGACTTTAAGGGGTTATACTACACAGGCGCACTGAAAAATTAACGTTTTTTTGGAAATTTTTTTCTTAGAAACCATTCTATGGATAAAAATAAAATTTTGAAGCTTTTACTATGCACGTTTTAAGGTATAGAAAAAATTTTTTAATTATAACTGTTGATACAAAATAGGGCCTTGACTGATGGTAAACGGAAAATAAGTTTTTTTCGAGAAGCGAATCTGTGTGTGACATAACATTCTCCAAACAGCACCAAGAGCAAAAAACAAAATTTGTCGTTAATCTACATTAACTTTGCTAGGAATGTATATATATATATATATATATATATATATATATAAACGATTATATATTTTTATGAAAAGTTCACAAATTGGCATCAGTTTTAACATTTTTTTTCATTTTTTAAACTAAAAATCGACTTTAAATTGTTATTAACAATCGTAACTATTTATAAATCTTCAAAAGTGTGTGTACTTCTCTAGATAATTTATCCAAAAAGTTACAGTTAAAATTTCAAATGAATCCGTCAAAAATTGAGCGAGTTACAGTGTACGCAGTTTTGAAAAATGTAGTTTTGAGAAAAACGCATTTAAAATTTCAAGGTGCATTCCCTTTATGACTTATTTAAAATAACGACTGAACAATTTTTTCACTTTTACTTTGCTATCTGAGCACCATATAACCACTGCTTTATATTTATGCTTCATATTTTATATTATAATTAAACTGATTTGTACCCCTAAAAATTATCAACAATAAGTTTAAAATTTTAAATTATCATGTTAAAAGTAGTTTATTGAATTTTCGTCGACAAAATAGTATTTACATATCATTCTTGGATAGTTTATGCATCATTTAATCCAATAAAAATTTTTTTTTAATTTTTTGCTGATTTTGATGAATCAAATATAAATTTTTTCAAAAAATTACATATTTTTAGAAAATTATATGGAATAAAAAAAATTTTAATGTTTAAATATAGAAAAAAGTACAAATAAATTTTCTTTTACAGTTTTTATAACATTCGACAAATTATTTTTAATTTTTAATATTTTTATAATAATCTCTATCATTTCATCTTTAATTAAAAAAAATGTATCTTGGAGACTTTAATTAATTTTGAGATATTGTTTGACATGTTGGTACATGTCGAGAAAAACTAGTACCGAAATTTGTATTTTTACCTTCATATGCTGCTCGTAGACGGAAAAAATTTAGGGACATCAGATGCACCGAGGAAAGTGTCAAAAGTAGTACATTTCATTTTCCACGTCTGAGGTGCCTTTTTGACACATCAGGCGTACAGTTTGTACGTCTGATGTCTCAAAAAGGCACCTCAGAAGTGCAAAATGAATGTACAAGAAAATTTTTCACAACGTGCACATCTGACGTGCTGAAATTTTTTTCGTCTACAAATTTAAATTACGATATCTCAAAACTAATTAAAGTCTCCAAGATAATTTTTTAAAAATTAAAGATGAAATGATAGAGATTATTAATAAAATTATAAGTATATTGAACTATAATTTTCCCAAGTTTCGTCAAATTTTAAGAACCACTTGCAGATTGTGATACTTCTTCGAATCGCCCTTTAACCTGTTTTAAGTAAAATATTCGTTAAAAGTAGTAGTACTTTTATCTTTAAGGAATCCATTTTAAAAAATACTTATTTTCTATGAAGCTGAAACTGGCACCCAGTTATCAGCACCCACTTATGTTTTGAAAATTTTATGTAGGCAATGAAACAAAAGAAGACCATTACTGAATAAATCAAACGGCTCTAACGGAATGAATATTATTCAAAGATTATTCACTAAAACAAATGAATACAAAATCAATAAAATTAAAATAAATTAAATTCTAAAAATATTTAATAATAGTTAAACTATCCGCGCACAAGCGCGCGGGAATATTGTATCAAACTGCTTATTTTAAACAATTTAAACTCCATTTTATTTTAAAAAATGTTTAAAGAAATAATTATTATTATTACCTAACAAAAAGTTTGAAATAATTAAAAGTGGAAAATGTTAACAATTATAGAGAATTAAATTTTCATTTTATATTATTTTGAAACTTTAAAGTTTACAAAAAAAATTTAACAACTTCGAACTTCTAATTTTTTTTTAAATTCCAATACTTTCACTTAATGGTCTCAATTTAAATAGAATTTACATTATACTGGACCTGAACTATGGCTAGAACAATTCCAATTAGTATCTGGGTCATAAAAATTAATTTAATTCACAATTAATAAAAAAATAGCCACAGCCGGTAATCAGCAGGAGGTGAAAAATTATTTTTTGAGCAAATTTTATCTTTTACATTGCTTATTTTAAACAATATAAAGCCATTTTAATTTAAATATACTTTTTAAAGAAATAATAATTATTACACACTGAAAAAAGCTTTACTTAAAACAGCGATATGTTTCTCTAGAATAGCAAAAGTTTTAATTGAAGCACTGAAAAATTTCGCTAATAAAGTGAAATCTGTAGTTTATCCAGGTAAATGTTTTTTGTCGTGCATAACGAAAAAATAATTAAATTAACATCAGATTTTCTAAATTCAAAATAACGAATTCAACATAGAAATTAATCATTTTAGAACTTTACCAAATTCACCCCAGAAATCACTGAGTCCGATAAATTAGAAGAAAGTCAGACAAATGGAAGTTCTATTTTGAATTTCAGAGTTTTGCAAGTTGAAAATTTATTAAAAAATTAAAAAACTAAATATTCTGAATTAAGAAATTTATAAAAATAAAATTCAATTGAATGTAAATTATATCAAATAACTTTTTTCAATATATTGAAATAATGTTAACATTAAATTATAGAAAAGTATTTACCTTTAGAGTAAATGATAGTTGTAAAGCTAAAAATGGAATCAAACACTATAACAGTACTGCCAGATGATTGAAACGACAAATCTTCAGAATTTTCTTATTTATCTTCAGAAATCTTTAAATTAGTCAAAAAACTTTCTTCAGATTTTGGTTATAATTTTTTCTAGAATATGATAAATGAAATTAAATTTTACAAAGAATTATAAAGAAATAAATTAATATTGCTGTGTTTGAATCTGTTCGCAATTTGAAAGTAAAAGTTTTCAATGTTTTTAATTTTAAAAATTAATGCACTGAAAATTACTAAAATCTTGCAAAGTTTTTATTGAAAAATTTGGAAATAATTAGTCATTTGATTTTGATAAAAAATTTTTTTTAAATAATTTAATTCTTTCAAAAACTGTTATTAACATTTTTGAAAAAGAATAGTTAATTATGTTGTTAATATGAAATTAAAAAATTAATGTTTATATTTGAAAATATAACATTTTTTGATTTGCAAAATAATAAATGGAACAGTAACAATTACTTTAGTAATTAATAATTATTACATTTATTATTATAATCATAAAAACGTAAAGAACAAAAATTATAATTTATCTTTAAAAAATGGTTTATTTATATTATTTAAATGTTTATAAATATTTTCATAATTACTTGATATATACACAGCCTTCACAAAATTTTCAAACAATCTTCAAGTTTTTACTATATTTCTTCCAGTCTGGCAGCACTGCACAATAATAACATAAACATTGAAAAATTTGACATTTAAAAATATTAAAAATGCTAATACTTAACCCACAAAAATTAATTTTCAAAACAAACAAATGAATGCAGATAATTTACTAACGGAAAGGAAACTTACGATTATTATAATGGTATATATATATATTTCTATTTTCTATCAAAACGTATAAAAAACAAAAGAATAACTATAACTAACTTCAAGTGTGGACAGAGATCCGGGAATCTGGAATCACGACGATTATTATATATAATTATTTATCCAGAAAATAATAAAAATAATACAACATTGGGCCTTAAAAAATGATTTTTTCGGAAAAAAACTTGATTTTAATTTTTAAAAAATTCACATTTTCTTCCTTGACTATTTTTAACTATCGATTTGTACTTGAATACTTTTCTTACATTACTACAAACCTAAAAAAACCACATTAGACCGCGGGACGAGAACATTGGGCCTTAAAAAATGATTTCTTCTAAAAAAAACTCGATTTTAATATTATAAAAATTCACATTTTCTTCCTTGACTATTTTTAACTATCGATTTGTGCTTGAATACTTTTCTCACATTACTACAAATTAAAAAAAGTCACATCAGACCGCGGGACGAGAACATTGGGCCTTATAAAATGATTTTTTCTTTTTAAAAACTCTATTTTAATATTAAAAAAATTCACAATTTCTTCCTTGACTATTTGTAACTATCGATTTTCGGTGAAATACTTTTGTCAGATTTGTACAAAGCTAAAAAAACCTTATTAGACCGCGGGATTTGATCATTGGGCCTTAAAAAATGATTTTTTCTGAAAAAAACTAAGTTTTAATTTTGAAAATATTCACATTTTCTTCCTTGAGTATTTTTAACTATCAATTTTTGGTTTGCTTTATTTTTTATTAATAATTTTTTAATTAATATTTAAACAATGTATTTTTTAAATGTATAAATTTTTTTTCCCTTCTGCAAGGGTAGTTAACATAAACTTTACAACCGGATAAATTCAATTAGAAAGGTTATGAAAACATTAAAATCTTTTATAGAGAACCAATTTGTTACAAATTGATTCATACAGGAGTCTGTCGATTGCGTTGGAATTTGACACCAAGGACTGACATCGACCATACCATGTTAAAAACCCTATTTACCGAAACTTTTATCCACCTACGGAACTACCTAGTGGCTTCAGACTTCGCAGATGAATGGTCCCATTTAGTCTCTGACGCAACTCTTCCATGCCGTTCTTCTTCTGGCCTTATTTCCTTCTTGTCCTTGACAAAGTCTTCTTGGCATCCAGCGACGTGTTGGATATTCTCCTTTTCGCCGAACTTCGCCTTGCATAAGAAGCAGCATGGGCTCTTCTTACAATTTGCTGCCTTATGGCCAGCTTCTCCGCACTTGAAGCACGCAGCTGACCTATCCATTGCTTGGCAATCACTGTCTATATGACCATAATCAAGGCACCTGTGACACCTTGTGACCATAACTCTCCTATTAATTCTGCAGGACACAAAACCGATTTTAATGTGCCCTATCTTCTCCAGCCTGTTAGCGTCCCCTTAGGTGGTGACCACGACAGCGAGCTTAACTCTCTGCTGATGCCAACGACCGTTATCGTCAAAAATCGTCATTTTGGACGCCTGGTGGGGACTATGGGAGTTAAGTGCTTTGGCGATAGAGTGGGGATAAGTTAGCATCAGCAGAGGGTTAATACCTCGCTTATTTGGTCCGAGGACCGTCACCTTCCTGCTTCCTGCTGGCACCATAGATAGTCTGTCTAGGGCCTCCTTGACATCCTCCTATTCGGTAAGGGTGTCCATGTCGCGGATCTCAAGCACAGTTTGCTGGTCCGCCACCTGTACCTTACCTAGGTCACCTCTTCGGTGAACAACTTCTTGTTTAAAGAGCCCCCAATTTTAATGAGTAGGTCTCCCTTTTTAATTGGTATAGCTCCCACAACTCTTGTCTGGCTGGCCTCCAGGTCAGCCTCTTTTCGAACTTTCGCCAGCACTTCGGCGAAGATAGTTCCTTCAGCCACTTTGACGACCACTGTGGCTCTTTCCTTCTTATCTGGATTTGGCTTTGGTGGCGTTTTGGTCTTCTTGCCTTTGGACCTTTTAGGAGGTCCCTCCTCCTTTTCTTTTTTGGGTCTTTCGTAAGCTCAGGATCACTTCTCTTCCGCTTTTGAGACTCCAAGACAACGTTTTTAAGCATTTTGCCACTGCTGCGTGCTTCTCCTTTACCTCCTGTATGAACGATGTTAAGCTTCTGAGTCCATCCTTGATTGCCCTATTGACATTCTTCTGGACTTCGCAGGTCTTCAGCATCTTGCTGACCTCTTCCTCCATTTCTAGAATGCTTGCTGCCTCTTCCTTCCGCAGCTTTACGCATTCATCTCGATCTTCATTGCAGCTAGCAATGTCAATCGCAGAAACATTACTGAAGAGAAAAATTCAGCTGGCCTAACTGGTCACGCTGCTCGTACTCCCTCGTCTCTCCGCCCTGTCCACGATGATCTGTAGCACTCCTAACGCGTTGTTGCCCTCCTGCATCCTTGGGCCATTGGCCACCGTCCTCACGCTAGGCGCTTGACGATCGGAACCAGTGAGGGATTTAGCCGTAGCATTACCCCGCAGGTACTCTTCCTCTTTTTTACAATCGCTCATACTTGGTGTTTCCCCGTGTCGAGGGACAATCAGGCCTTAACAGGGTACTTCCATCTGGCCAGGATGGGCCCTGGACCGCCTTCGTTGGTTACATAGACGTTATAGTATTGACGGATCATTGATGCGATCATTGGGCCTGGGTCAGTCCATTATATTTCACCTGAAGCCGTTGCGGCCTATTTTTAAAAAAATCTCATAATTTGTAAAAATGATGTTTAATATCCATAGAATTCATTTTTGAGAATTATTTTATAAAACTTCTTGAATTCAACTTAGAATTTTAATTTTTAAGTTGAGTTGCACAGAAAAAAGGTTAGATTGTCAGTTATGAAAATTTAATAAAAAAGCATGAAAATAATTTAGATAATAGAAATTTCTTGATTGATATTTGTTAAAAATGAGCTAATTTACTTGTATAAATAGATTATTATGTAAACATACCCAAAATAATAAATAAAAATTGATTTTAAAATTTACCTATGAAATGTCAAAAATCACTACATTTTAATTACATTTTTCTACAAAGTTTATAAACATTAAAAAATTTATTACTATTTGATGTAAAGTATTTTCAATGTAGTTTCATAATGTGTGCTAGCTTTTTAATTTTATAATATAGAAATATGAAAAATATTACCTTTAATATTCAGTGTTTCAGGATTTTCAGTGATTTCAATCACTTATTTCTTCTCAGGTGCAAGACTAAAAAATCCAATTTTTGTCTTAATATTTAAGTTTCAACTTCTTTTCCATTCTATAAAATTTTGGTGATGGAGAACGAGCTACTTTTCAGTTTAAATTTAGTTTAAGAAATCTGCTGGAAAAACGAATTTGTTTGTTAAAATGCAAGTAGATTTTTCCAAGACTATTGAAATAGCCAACTTCAGTATTATAAAATTACCTGCATTTAACCAACAAACTCGCTTTTGGAAGTAGATTTTTTAAATATGAATAAAACTACAAAGTAGATCGTTCTCCATCACCAAAATTTTATAGAATGGAAAAGAAGTTGAAACTTAAATATTAAGACAAAAATTGGATTTTTTAGTCTTGCACCTGAGAAGAAATAAGTGATTGAAATCACTGAAAATCCTGAAACACTGAATATTAAAGGTAATATTTTTCATATTTCTATATTATAAAATTAAAAAGCTAGCACACATTATGAAACTACATTGAAAATACTTTACATCAAATAGTAATAAATTTTTTAATGTTTATAAACTTTGTAGAAAAATGTAATTAAAATGTAATGATTTTTGACATTTCATAGGTAAATTTTAAAATCAATTTTTATTTATTATTTTGGGTATGTTTACATAATAATCTATTTATACAAGTAAATTAGCTCATTTTTAACAAATATCAATCAAGAAATTTCTATTATCTAAATTATTTTCATGCTTTTTTATTAAATTTTCATAACTGACAATCTAACCTTTTTTCTGTGCAACTCAACTTAAAAATTAAAATTCTAAGTTGAATTCAAAAAGTTTTATAAAATAATTCTCAAAAATGAATTCTATGGATATTAAACATCATTTTTACAAATTATGAGATTTTTTTAAAAATAGGCCGCAACGGCTTCAGGTGAAATATAATGGACTGACCCGCCTTAAAAAATGATTTTTTCTGAAAAAAACAAAGTTTTAATTTTGAAAACATTCATATTTCCCTCCTTGACTATTTTTTAATATCGATTTTTGGTTTGCTTTATTTTTTATTAATAATTTCTCAATTAATATTTAAACTATGTATTTTTTAAATGTATGCAATAATATATTAATATTTATTATTATTTTTATTAACTTATTGTAATGAAATTTTTATTAAATACAATTAAAATAAAAATCATATAAGTATTAATAAATAATTAGGGGAGTGTTGCTAACAACAAGTTGGGCATAGTTTTGACTTTTCATAACTTCCCCTGTAGAACGAGTTTCGCGATTTCGCGCATATTGTTGGAAAGGTCAACTCAAATGCAATGTTTTTGTTGAACATTGTAAAAAAATTTGACCAAAAGATTCAGAGTTATAAGCAATTTTAAAAAAATGTTGGCAGAGTTGAGCATGGTTGCCGAAGTTGGGCCACTGTAGAAAATCAATGAAATATTTAGGTAAATGATTAAAAATGACCTTCAAATGATAGAATGACACTTGGGAATGAGGAAAGGAACCATGAAATTAAAATAAAATCCCATACTATGCATTTTCATATAACTTTAGATAATTTATTCCTCATAAACGAAATCCAAAATTGAAAAAATGAAAAAAGGTTATCAAACAATTTTTTTTTCTCTCTTTCCAATGGAAATGAAATTTTTAACACCTCTTTAAGTAGAAAAATGAATTTCTGTTGCAAGTACGCTTTGTAATTGCAAATATTCCCTCATTGCCCAACTCTGACTCACGCGTCGTTTTGCTTTATAGGGGCACGGAACTCAAACGCGTGACACAAACACCAAATTACTTTACACATTTTTACATATCATCTTAATGAACAATTTCTGTAAACTTATTTTGTCTTTGCACATTTCTTCTACATTTAGTTCTCTTCTTTTGACACCACAAAAAAGTTTTTGCTGAGCCTATAACACTAAGTGGAACGATAGTCAAGTATAGGTTCGTATACTTAACTACGACTCATATGAAAAGATGGCTGACATAAGTAGCAAGAATTTTCGTAAAAAAACCGCGGTGGCTCAACCCTAAACCCTGTCCAACTCTGACAACTCTCCCCTAATTTTATTATTTGTTTTTAAATTATATTTGATTAATATGCTTTTTCTTTATTTATTTTATTATCTGTCCATGCTGAAAAATTAAAATTTTTTTACAATTAAATGATTTTATTTTTATTGATTTGTATTTAATTGTTTTTAATGTATAACCTTTGAATAATATACATTCTGTTAGAGCCGTTCGATTTTCTCAGCTATGGTTTTCTTTTGTTTCATTGCCAACATAAAATTTTTAAAAAATAAGTGGGTGCCAGTTTCAGCGTCATTTATTTTCTTTATATGAAAAAAACTGTAAATGCATGGCAATAAAATATAGTGATTTTTAATTTTTCAGTATAAATTGTCTCCGAAATATGTTTGAACAAGTACTAATAAAGAAATACTAATATGATTTGGACAAATCAAATAATAAAAATAATTTTTATAATTATTCTGAACCTACTTTACAATGATGTCAGAGGCATAAAAGAATCAAATTTGCCACAATGTTTGAAACACTTAAGAACGTATTTAAAAGCGAAACTAAATGTACCTTACATAATGTACATGACTGAAAATGACACAAGAATCGAAAACGAAAAAGTATTAGCAATCTTAATAGAAAGCAGACCTGTTCTACAAGTGAATTTTCATGATTTTTACAATCATGCGCAGAAAAATTCGAAAATGTTTCAAATCGTCAAAAATCCTGAATTAACAACATTGTTCGTAATTGCAATTTACGTTGATGATTTAACAGATGTTAGAAAACTAACTGGTCCAATGAACGTGATAAACTCACTCGCTTATAACAAAGGTCATCCGAAATGCTTGTTGGCTATGTATTCCCTGCAAAGAAATTTTAAATTTGATCAATTTCTAAGATCAATGTGGAAGAACACATTTCTGGATGTAACGATTTTGCATATTGTAGCAGTCAGAAAAGAAGGAAATGAAAATGCAATTTTAGGAAACGAAAATTTTTTGGCTACAATTCAGCAATTCAATCCGTATTTTGAAAAATATACAAAGAAATTGTGCAGTCGTCAGGTTCAGCTATTTCCGGATAAGTTGCGCGATTTAAATGGCTACAAAA